TTAAATTATAAGCTTAATATTACTAAGAAATGGTGAGCATGTGTTGAAACAGGAAAGTTCATATACTCCTTGTGGAAATATAAAATTGGTATCATAACTTGAGAGAGCTATTTGGAAAAAAAAATGTTAGTTTGTAAATATGTATACCCTAAGGCCTGGAAATTTTATTCATCAAACATGATTGTGAAGAAAAGAATTGACATCTTAAAATAATAAAATAACCACTAAAAGATAGACAGAAACGATTGTAGAAATCCAAATTAAACATAATATGAAGCCCAGAAAGCAGAGAAAATATTGCGATTACAAATTAAATTAATGAAATTAACAATAAAACAAGTGTTGAAGAAAATATTCCTGTGGTCAAAAAAAGCCAAATATGATTAATGCAAGTGTCTCTCATGAATTAGGCAAATAATACAAAAGATTTAGACTTATTTTTGGAAAATTCTTGCATTTGTAAGACTAATTTTTTATTCCTACAAACAGTTCAGTTGAGAAAAACAGATTAATAGCAAATGATCAAATTCAGTTCTTTTTTTTCCTTTTATTTTCATTTCTGTAATTTTTAAACACTAGAGGAACCAGATCTACAAATAACTGAGAGAGAAATTTTTGTGAATGAGAAATTACATACAGAGCCAAATGGCACTTACGAAAACAACAGCAGCAAAACTTTATTTTGCATTTATTTTTATTTTTTTATTATTTATTTATTTATTTATTTTTTTGACAGAGCCTTGCTCTGTCACCCAGGCTGGAGTGCAGTGGTGTGATCTTGGCTCACTGCAAACTCCGCCTCCTGGGTTCGAGCAATTCTCTGCCTCAGTCTCCCAAGTAGCTGGGATTACAGGCTCCTTCCACCAAACTTGGTTAATTTTTGTATTTTTAGTAGAGATGGGGTTTCACCACCTTCGCTAGGCTGGTCTTGAACTCCTGACTTCGTGATACACCTGCCTCAGCCTCCCAAAGTGCTGGCATTACAGGCTTGAGCCACTGCACCTGGCCGATGTTGAGCATTTTTATATGCTGTTGGCTGCTTGTACACCTTGTTTTAGGAAGTGTCTGTTCAGATTCTTTGCCCATTTTAAGTGGATATTTTTGTTCCTTGCTTGTTGATTTAAGTTCCCTGTGGATTCTTGATATTAGACCTTTATCAGATGCATAGTTTGTGATTATATTCTCCTGTTCTGTAGCTTGTCTGTTTACTGTCAATAACTTCTTTTGTTGTGCGAAAGCTCTTTAGTTGAATTAGGTGCCACTTATTACTTTTTATTTTTGTTGTAATTGCTCTTGGGGACTTAGCCACAATTTCTTTGCCAAAGCTTGTAAAGAAGATATTTCTTAGGTTTTCTTTTAGCATTTTTATAATTTGAGCTCTTACATTTAAGTCTTTAATCCATTTTGAGTTAATTTTCATATATGATAAGAGGTAGGGGTCCAATTCATTATTCTGCATATGACTAGCCAGTTATCCCAGCACCATTTATTGAATAGGCACTCTTATTGTTAATGTTTATTTCAGTAGTTTTTGTGGAAAATCAAATGGTTGTGGTTGTGTAGGTTTACTTCTGTGTTTTCTATTCTGTTCCACTAGTCTATGTGTCTGTTTTTGTTCCTGTACCATGCTCTTTTGTTTACTGTAGCCTTATAGTATGGTTTGAGGTTGGAGAGTGTGATGCCTCCAGCTTTGTTCAGCAAACTGAATCCAACAGCATATCAAAAAGTTAATTCACCATGACCAACTAAGATTTATTTCTGAGATGGAAAATTAGTTCACCACATGCAAATCAGTAAATGTAATTCACCACATAAACAGAATAAAAAACAAATCTCATACACTTGTCTCAGTAGATGCAAAAACAACCTTCAATAAAATCCAACATGCCTTCATGATAAAAATCCTCAACAGATTAGGCATTGGAGGAATGTACATCAAAATAACAAGAGACGTATGTGACAAAGCCACTGGCAACATCATACTAAATGGGCAAAAGTGGGAAGCATTGCACTTGAGAACCGGAACAAGACAAATATGTCCACTCTTACTACTTTTATTCAACATGGTAATGGAAATTCTATCCACACACAGCAATCAGGAAAGAGAAAGAAATAAAGGCCATTCAAATAGGAAAAGAAGTTAAACTATCTGGTTGCTGACAATAAAATTCCATACATAGAAAACCCTAAAGACCACACCAAATAGCTTCTAGGGCTGATTAATAGATTAGGTAAAGGTTCAGGATACAAAATCCATGTAAAAAAATCAGTAGCATTTTTATACACCAGTAACATTATAGCTGAGAGTCAAATCAAGAACATGATCCCATTTACTATAGCCACAAAGAAAATGAAATACCCAGGAATTCATCTCACCAAGGAGGTGAAAGATCGCTACAAAAAAAAAAAAAAGAAAAGAAACTACAAAACACTGCTGAAAGAAATCAGGGATGACACAAATAAATACGACCTACTTTGGGCTGATAAATACCAACAGTATTTTTCATAGAATTAGAAAAATCGACTATAAAATTAATTTGGAACCAAAAAAAGAGCTTTAATTAATAAAGCCATCCTAGGCAAACATCTTTAAAAAAAAAAAAAAAAGGAAGGAGAACGAATGGACCTTTGATGAACAGAATGACAGACTATGGCAGAAACAATGTTCCTCACCTTGCAACACTAAAAACCCACATTTCCCAGCACCCTCTCCCCTTGCATCTCAATGAAACCTTGTGAATATGTTTCGGTGAAGGAAATGTTCTAGAAATGAGGTATTGTGTTCAGAAAATGAGGTTTTTTAGTTGTTTCGGAAAACAAAAACAAACAAACAAAAACACCTATCTAGACTAATACATAGAGAAACACATAAAACATAAATTTCAAAGAAAATTTAACAAAACCTAGGCAGAAACATGGAAAACATAGCAAAATCAAAACAGATATTTTAATGTTATTACAAAGTTGAGTACAAGCCTAAAAACATTGAATGGGAATAAAATGTTTATTTTATATTTGAAAGTCACATGAAGCAACTCAGGTATCCCAATATAATTATTTATATACTGAATAATATTTCATCAAAATATAAAATATAAATTTATATGTATAGTAGAAAATGACAAAATGCAATCATACATGGAGTGCATTACACAGCTTGCTATATGTTTGCTAAATGAAATTGGTAAACACAAATGATACAGATTTAGTGACTGAACAATTCTACATTCCACTGAATAGAATTAAATTCTACTTAATTAATGGAATGTTTTATGTGTAAATCTATTTTTCCATTTATCCATCTAATTGCAAAGTTCCTTTCTGGCATACAGATATCAATTTTGTGAGTTTCTGTGAATTGTGCTATACAGAAATCTCAATAAATTCTAAAATTCAGATTGAAGAAAGGCCACACATTGGGACCTTAATATGTGTATATTTAAAAATAATGATGTGAATTAAAATGAAATACTCAAATAGATAAAAGACAATTTTTTACAAAATTATTTTTTTGGTCAAACAAGAAATTATAACTGTAGTTATAGATAATTCTGAAAAGAAATCCAAGGAGAAAATTAGGTGTCAGATCTTCATCATGGGGTTCAAGTGGTGTTTGCTAAAATATAACTGGCCAAGCCATAAATAGTCACAGTGTTCAGTCAAATATAATTAGCTTCATTTGACTTCACTACAAAATAAAGCAAAAAAAGGGGCTATAATATTTAAACATTAAAGGTAATAATTATAAAATAGCAATGAGAAAATATTAAAGTATGAATTTAAAAAGATAAAACATCAAATTGATAAATTAAAAATATAAAACCATAGAATTAATTTTTAATATTCATATGTAACTACATGTTAAAATTTCAATTAAAGTAGCAATTTCTAGGAAACCTGATAAGTGGAGAAAAGAGATAAAACACATACATACAAATTTTTAATTGTTAAAATATCCACAGATAATGCAGAATCATGATAACTAGCTATATAAAACTTATACCAATAAAGTTAAAAGTCTTGAAATTGATGATGTTTCTAGAAAAAACGTAATTCATGCAAATATTTTCAAGAAATAGAAAAATTAAGTTACTATTAATTGATTTAAATTAAAGTAAGAGGAAAAGGGCCACATTAAAAAATGGTACCCACTCCAGAGGTTTTATAGCAGGTGATTTATTTGAAGGTATTACAGAGTAACTAATTATCACCCATATATGGTGTTATAGGACTCAAAAGGCTATGAGCTCTTTTTGAACTCAACTCATTTTGTAAACATAATATCTCCTTGAAACAAAATGCAAAATATTATTCATTGTTTTAATCTTATTTATACACACAGAAATACTTGCACTTAATAAAATACTACTAATTCAAACACAGAGCTATAATTAAAGAGCAATTCATTATGAGCTAGTAGGGCTTTTTTAGTTCTTGAAACTTCTACTTATGTAGTTCATCACATCAAGAGAAAAGGAAGCAAACCCATATGATCATCTTGGTAGATTTCAATGAGGCATATGGAAACAGAATTCGTACCTATCCCTCATATAATATAGTTAATGAAAAGCATAAATATTCTTAGATTCATATGATGAATCATATCTATCTAAAATTTATTTATGAAGTAAATACAACTTAAAGATGGAATATAAAATGTTCTTATTAAATTCTAGAGAAACAAGAATATAGTTACTATCATCTCTAAAATTTAACTTTGTAGGTTATATTTATTATAGAAAAAATAAAAATCTCAAAAAAGACAACAATGTACTCAAATAATACGGTGTTCAACCTGGAACATTTAAGAAAAATGACCTGACTTTAGTTTCAAGCTACAAGATGGTTCATTAACATGGTGAGATTAAAAATCGTTTTAAAATCCCATGCACATATATTTCCTATATAGCTGTTTAATACATAATTAACTAATATTACATTTTAAGTAGAAATAAAAGTCTAAAGTACTGGACAAGACCAGAGGCCAAACTCAGGTTCTGATGACCGGGCTACCCTGCAGGATCATCAAGAAAACCCAGCGTTTGCTGGCAGAGCCAGTTCCTGGCATCAAAGCAGAACCAGATGAGAGCAGCGCCCTTTATTTTCATGTGGTCATTGCTGGCCTTCAGGATTCCCCCTTTGAGGGAGGGACTTTTAAACTTGAACTATTACTTGCAGAAGAATACCCAATGGCAGTCCCTGAAGTACGTTTCATGACCAAAATTTATCATCCTAATGTAGACAAGTTGGGAAGAATATGTTTGGATATTTTGAAGGATAAGTGGTCTCCAGCGCTGCAGATCAGCACAGTTCTGCTATCCATTCAGGCCTTGTTAAGTGCTCCCAATCCAGATGATCCATTAGCAAATGATGTAGCGGAGCAGTGGAAGACCAACGAAGCCCAAGCCATAGAAACAGCTAGAGCATGGACTAGGCTATATGCCATGAATAATATTTAAATTGATCCAATCATTAAGTATGCATCACTTCTCCTGTTCTGCCAAGACTTCTTCCTTTTTGTTTGCATTTAATGGACACAGTCTTAGAAACATTACAGAATAAAAAAGCCCAGACATCTTCAGTTATTTGGTGATTAAATGCACATTAGCAAATCTATGTCTTGTCCTGATTCACTGTCATAAAGCATGAGCAGAGGCTAGACGTATGATCTGGATTGTTGTGAAACATTTAAAAGCAGTGGTCCCTCCCCACTTTTATTCATTTCCCCCATCCTGGTTTAAGTATAAAGCCCTGTGAATGAAGGTAGTTGTCAGGTTAGCTGCAGGGGTGTGGGTGTTTTTCTTTATTTTCTCTTTTCTTTTCTTTTCTTTTCTTTTCTTTTTTCTTTTCCTTTCTTTTCTTTCTTTTCTTTTCCTTTTCTTTCTCTCTCTCTCTCTCTCTTTCTTTCTTTGGCGGGAAGGTAGTTTTATTTTAATTTTATGGGCTCCTTTCCCCGCCTTTTTGGTGATCTAATTGGATTGGTTAAAAGCAGCTAATTAGTTCTTTAGAATATGCTCTCTAGCCAAGTCTAACTTTATTTAGACGCTGTAGATGGACAAGCTTGATTGTTTGAACCAAAATGGGAAGATTAAACAAGCATCACAGCGCTTACTAACAACATTGTGACTTTGCTGTCAAGTGTAGAGTCCCCCCTTCAAAAAAACTTGTGACCATTTTGTATGGCTTGTCTGGAAACTTCTGTAAATCTTAGGTTTTAGTAAAATATTTTTTGTTATTCTAAAAAAAGTATAAAGTACCAAGTAATTATAAGAAATAAGAAGTACATATAGAAATAAAAATGATTTAATGATAAATGAATTGGATAAATGGAGAAAATTGTTGGAGTTTGGAAAGACTGAATGTAATACAAACATCTGTTAGAAAAAGCAAAAAGCAACGATGGGCAGGGAAAAATTATATGCAACAAATATAGAAGGTAAAGTATACTTAATATATAAAGAGCACTTATCAATAAGAAAGAGTTCTTGTCAGTAATAAAAATTCCTCAAGAATACATGTTATATTGCTTTACAACATCCTTATATTATTATTGCCACTGTACAGATAAGAAACTGAGCCACTTTAGAGTTCATTAACATGCCTTAGATTTCCCAGAAATTTGTGGTAGTCTAGGTGTCCAAATCCTCATCTGCCTGACTTAAGAGCTCCTCTCTATTGTACTATAAGTCAACATTTGTTAATTTATTAATATTATAACTGAGCCTGATTCTTCCTGTATTTCTGCACTCACTGTAAATTAACCATTTTACAGGATAATGCCTCTCTCAACACTACAATCTTTATAATTAATCTATTTATGTAGTCATGCATTTTAATACTTTAGAATCCCAAAGCCCTGCAATAGATTTTTTATATTTTATTTTACAATAGCCATTAATTAAGTTGATCAAATAATTATTTATTGAGTTGCTACTATATGACATATATTGGCCTAGGTTTTAGAAAATTGAACAAAAAATAGACAAAGATCTCTTTCCTCATGAAGTTTTATATTGTAGTGTGAACGAGATAGACAGTAAACGTAAGAGGCAAGATCATTGTATAAAACATTAAAAGGACAAAGAGGTGTGGAGAATAATTAGGTAAAAGAATAGATGGTGACGAAGGTCGTTGTGTGTGTGTGTGTGTGTGCGCGCGCGCTCACGCGCTACTTTAAATAGTTTGATTAAGGCAGGCCTAAGTGATATGGAAAATTACTGGACAAAGATTCAAAAGGTTTGAGGGGGATATCCATGAGGATATCTGGAGTTAGAGCATTTCAGATAGAGGGATCAGGCAGTTCCTGATATGAGAGCATTTCTACCATGATACAAGAAAGAACAAGGCTCATGTGGTTGGAAAAATTTTAAAAAGTGAGTGAGAAGAGAGAGGAATCAAAGATGAGGTTCCAAAGCTAATGGAATTTTAGATCCTGTAGAGCTCTGTAGCACATGGAAGGTACCTGGACTTCTATTTTGAGTGAAAGTTATTAATCCATCGGATGGTATGAGCTGAGGAATGATATGAACTGACTTAAAACAGAGTCACTCTGGCTGCTGCTTGTGAATCGATTGCCTGGGGGTGTGGGGAGGGGGAAGAAAATGTAGACTTTAGGTGGGTCTCAAAATAATTCAGTGAAAAAACAGAGTAATGATCTAGCTCTAGCCTATAGGTGTGGATTGACCCTCAATGAAGTAAAAAAAAAAAAAAAAAAGGAAACTTTTTTTTTTTTTGAGACGGAGTCTCGCTCTGTTGCCCAGGCTGGAGTGCAGTGGCACGATCTTGGCTCACTGCAAGCTCAGCCTCCTGGGTTCATGCCATTCTCCTGCCTCAGCCTCCCAAGTAGCTGGGACTACAGGCACCCACCACCACGCCTGGCTAATTTTTTTTTTTGTAGTTTTAGTAGAGACAGAGTTTCACCGTGTTAGCCAGGATGGTCTCTATCTCCTGACCTCGTGATCCGCCTGACTCGGCTTCCCAAAGTGCTGGGATTACAGGCCTGAGCCACCGCGCCCAGCCAAAGCATTAATTTTTTTAATGAGCTGATCTTTTAAAATGGAAGTAAAAAGCCCACATATGCAATTTTATTATAATTTATAACCCAGGTTATCAGTGATAAATCCACACACAATTACCTAAGTATCAGACAAAGTAAAGGTAAAAATAGGCTGTAGTTTAGAAAACTTTCAAATATTAAGAACAATTAGAAGATAATTATTTATTTTACCAAAGAACTATTCTACAAAAGTATTCACTGCCGTATTCCTTGAAAGAGTGAATTTTCTTAGAGCATTTAACTTTTCATCTGACTTATCACAAAAACGGGAAAAAAGGGCCACCAGATGCTTATAAAGTTGTGCCAACCTTGTGGGGGTGAAGAAGTCTTGGAAAAAGTGACAAGAGAGTATTTACGATTTTCCTCTTTCTCAATAACTCACTTTTCTTTCTATCTCCAACCCCAAATCCAAGTAGATAACCCTTTTTAAACTCACTATTCAGAAGAAGAATAAAACAGAAAGCAGAGAATATGAAATGTTCTTAGCTAGGGTTTTCAAAAAAAATTAAGCTTTTAGGAAATTGATATGCCTATTTTAAAAATATTTATTCTGTTAATGAAACCCTAAATCACATGCCCTATTGCGTATGTGGATTTTTTACTTCCATTTTAAAAGACCAGCTCATTAAAAAAATTAGTGCTTTGCCCTGGCACGGTGGCTCACGCCTCTGCCTCCCAAAGTGTTGTGATTACTGGCGTGAGCCACTGTGCCCGGCCAAAAAGAAATTTCTTTATGATTGTTACTTGAGATTATAAAAAAGAAAATTGATAAAATTTACTGTGTTTTCTTCAGATTGATGGCTACTTCCTGTATCTACCCCAAATGACAAAATGTCACTGATTTATATATTTTATGCTCTGTGTAAAAATTTAGTAATTTGCATGTGTCATCTTCCTCTATCCCATTTCCTCTGTCAGGGCTGGGATTTGTTTTCCAAACTACATGTGAATTGCCTTTTTTTTTTTTTTTTTTTTTTTTTTGGATTTTTTTTCTGTCGCCCAGGCTGTAGAGCAGTGGCGCGATTTTGGCTTGCTAAAACATTCCCCTCCCAAGTTAAAGCGATTCTCTTGCCTCAGCCTCTGGAGTAGCTGGGATTACAGGCGTGCGCCACCATGCCTGGCTAATTTGTGTATTTTTAGTAGAGACGGGTTTCATTGTGTTGGCCAGACTGGTCCCAAACTCAGGTGATCTGCCCACCTCGGCCTCCCAGAGCGCTGAGATTACAGGCATGAGCCACCACATCCGGCCATTTTTAGTTTTAATTAAGTTTTGTTTTTTTTTTCCTAGCCTATTTCTAAACTCCTATCCATTGTGAGGGTTAAAAGTCTCCTCCCATTTCTAATTACATGAAGTCCGTAGATATCACATACAAACTAGACTTCTCAAACTCATGCTTTCATCCGTTATTCTGAAAGACCGTGATCCATATCAACCCAAAGGATAACAAAAGTTTTTATGGCTACATTTAAAGCAAATTCAATTTTTTTTTTAAACGCAAAAATTGAGGGAAATATGTGAAACACCTAAAGGCAAGGTCGCTGATTTAGTTGTATACTTTTTTCCTAACTTAAACAACATGGCGAACTTAAATAAGATAGGAGATATATATATATACACACACACACACATATATATATCTCCATACATATATCTCACATATATATCAAAATAAAAACAGAAACTAGGCAACATTCATCACAAAATCAGACATGCAGTTTTGTTGTGGTCTTCAATTTCTTTTACATGGTTGCATTTTATTACATAAAAATGTATTTCACCAGAAAATTATTGACCTTGTAATGAATATTATTTGAAACTCTAGAAAAAGTGTAGATATTTAGATATTTAGTCACTTTGAAAGCATACTGATAAGGAATACTTTATCATCATTAAGAGACATTAGTACACATATACATGGTTCAAGACCCAGGGCTAAGCATATACTATGTAAAAGACACAAAACGACTCTTATTTTTAAATGCTGGTAAAATAATTTGACGCTAGTTCTAGTGTCAAACTATTCTGATTTTGTCCTTGAGCAAATTATATAAATTCACTGAACTTCAGTTTCTGTAACAAGTAAAGATAACACTGGCTGCAAGAAGTTACTATGTAAGTAGATAAGGTAATGTATTAAATACATAACTGCTAGCACAGAGTAGGAACTGAAGAACTGATGGTTTCCTTCCCCTTCACTGGGCCTCACCAATCAGTTGAGGAAAGAGAGTATATATACTACATGTAAATAATAAAACATAACAGTCAGCATAGACAAAGAGTCATGTGAATAGTATTGGTAACTGACAAAACAAGAGTTCAGAGGAAAATTTTTAGGACCGGCGTCAAAAGATGCTTTTTGGGGAACACAGGCTTTGGTCCAGAAATTAAAGGAAAACTATTAGAAAAATAGAAACACAGTTGGTACGATCTTCCAAATGCAACCCATTTATTTAATAGGCAGGACTTGGTGGAGAGCCAAACAAGAAAGCTTATTCTTTATCACCACATTTTAATACATAAAACA